CTCGAAGGAGACAGCACAGGAGACAAGATACCTTACAACTGTGAGAGAGACTGATGCTCCTGCTGTGAGCCAGACCTAGAGACCAAAGATCAAACAAATGCTGACCTCCCTAAAGATTAGCATCCAGGATTGATCTTCTCCCTGAGAAAGCCAAGAAGACTCATCCGATGGCTACCAGATAAAGTCCTGTTTCACATTCATGCCTGCTTACTATGTGACTCCCTTCCCCATTTGGTTTTAGGCTTAATCAACTTTACCTGAACAATGTAATACCAATGGTTGACCTTAGTTTTTTTCCCACCCCACATCCACCTAAGGGAGTTTCCCCTTTCTCCACCTTAGCCCACATAGTTTTACACTACAAAAGTCCCTGGAAGAGACAGCTTCCCAGGGACAACCCACTCGGGGGGCCCCCTCCTGTCCCTCTCTCGGACTGGAACTTTCCCTAAATAAATATATTCTGCTCATAACCTCCGTTTGTTCCTAAAATTCATTCTTCGGTTTTAGAGAACATGAACTCATCCAGGTCAGGTCGGGAGATCATTTTTCCCTTTTCCCCTGTATCATTTGGAGGTTCCCTGTATCGTTTGCAGGTCACCCACCCGAGATCAGTTTTTCTCCCTGTAACACTCCTTTATTGTTTGGCTTATTTGGAGGTAAGATATCATACCTATATCAGTATCACTATGTTACCAGGTTTTGGGGTGTTAGAGTCTCCTTTTAGAGGTGGTCAAGACAGGCAGAAAAGATAAAGAGCTTTTACATTATGAAAGATAGGAAAAGAAGGGCCAGCCAGATAGCTCAGCTGACTAAAGCGCCTGCTAGGCAGCTGCAGGTACCAGAGTTTGATCCCCAGCACCACGTACCATGCCGGCCCTGTCTCCAGGGCATGCTGAGAGGGCAACTGAGACTGGGCATGGTGGCACCCGCCTGCAATCCCAGCACTTGGGAGGCTGAAAACCAGAGGATCACTACAAATCCAATCTCTGTAGACCCTGTAGTAAATATATATAAACGAAATATGCTCTGCAGAATGAGTTCAGACCAACTAAAAGCAGGAAAAGTGCATCTGGTAGGAGTTAACCACTGTGAGAGAGCACAGAGGCCAAGAGCTCCATGGCTGCCATTTTTGGGTCTCTACTCCTCAGGCTGATGTCAGGTCTAGGCCGTCCAGTCAAAAACCTGGTCCAGTTCTGCAAAAAGAATGGAAGCTCGCACTCTGATTGGTCCATCAGAAGGCGCTGGGAACTGTTCTGCACATGTGTGCTAGATGTCTAATCAGAAGGTCACACATATTCCGAACCCCCACAACCAGTCACTCCCTAATCTCTTGCTGATCTGAGAAGGTTCCCAAAGTGAGATAAGGAGCCTAGCCCACCCTACTTAGACTTTAAGATTGCGATCTTGGCTCCTATTACATAAAAAAGAGCTATCAGGACTTAAAATTTTTTTAAACAGTAGACAGAGGGTCAGTCAAATAGCTCAGCAGATTAAAGCACCTGCAAGCAGGCACAGGGGCTGGGGATGTGATCCCAAGACTTGCCGGGCCAGCCCTGCCTGCTCCCCGCCCCATGCTGAGACAGCAATTGACACTGGGTGTGGTGGTGTGCACCTGTAATCCCAGCACTTGGGAGACTGTAAACAGGTGGATCACTACGAGTCCAATCTAGTAGTGAAACCCTGAACACACTGTAGACCTTCCCTAAAAAATACAACAAACAAACAAACAAACAAAAAGCATTTTAGTATAGGGTCTACAGAGTCTCACTACATAGATCAGACTGTAGTGATCCTCCTGTTTTCAACCTCCCAAGCGCTGGGATTATAGGCGCATGCCACCATGAGCAGTCTCAATCACTTGTGCACCCTGGGAGCGGGGCTGGCATGGGGCACGCTGGGAATCAAACACTGGTCCCTGCACCTGCTAAAGCAGGCACTTTAATCCACTGAGCTATCTGGTGGGACCTTTATTTTATTGATTAATTAATTTCATTTGAACTTTCAATTGAGAAGTTCACTGTCAAAGTGCTAGCCTAAGGGAGAGAGACACATTATATCCTAGAGTGGGAACACTGGTGCCGCACTGCAGGAGTGGAGACCCCAGGAGAAGATGCCTACTGGCCCAGTATTGTTTCTCTGTTTCTCTCTGTCTCTCTGTCTCTCTGTCTCTCTGTCTGTCTCTCTCTCTCTCTCTCTCTCTCTCTCTCTCTCTCTCTCTCTCTCTCTTTGGCAGAACCGGAGATTGAACTCAGGCCCTTGTGCTTGCCAGTCAAGCACTTATTCTACTGAGCTATCTCCCTAGCCCCTTTTTAAGTTTTGTTTTTATTTTTTGTTTCATTTTTTGAAATGGATAATTAAAGCATTTTTGGGATTCCCTCAACTTGTTCCTTTATCTTAGGATCAGGTTCCTGCCCTTTATTTTCTCAGTTAAGCCAGTGTGTGCACCCCAGTATTCCTGAGGAACTTCAGGGGTCTGGAAGGACCCTACATTTCACCAAGGGAACACTGCATGGATTGCCTTGTGTGACTTCCATGGATCCCAGAATTGCAGTCCTCTGAAAAGTGCAACTAGTGTAGTTATGAATTCCTTTTGTCCTCCCTACCCTGTATCTCTTCTATCTTACCTCACTTGGAACTGAACATTTGCAGGGAGGGCCTGGCACCTGGCACCTCACTTATCAGAGGACCCTGAGTGTCACAGAGGGTTCTGATATGTTGTGGCCCTAGTATGAATTGCTGAATCATTATAGTGGTCATCTAATACGGCTGAAGCCCTTAAAACAACAGCTCATCTTCCCAGAGACCACCTTCCCCCTTCTTCTCCAACTCAGCCAGCATGCAATTTTCTTTCACCTTTCCCGCTGCCTCAGGGAAGACCCCAATCAGCTCCTCAGATATATCTAAACATCCCCCCTCAAGCTCCACCCCGGCAAAAGGCCATAAAAGGCTCAACCTCCCTTTGTTTCCTCTTAGAGATTCCCTTATCTTTCCCAGATTCTCTCTGTGTCCTCCAAGATATTAAAGCCTCTTTCCCTTTTTCCTTCTGCCTGTTTCTCTGCTGTGATGCTGTGAAAAACCTGTCAGGTTCCTCACCTTTTATCTGCTCATAAGTGTGAAGCCAAGATTCACCTTGGAAGCTTCCAGCCTCTCGGGTGATTCAGGGTGCTGTTCCCCCAACTTGCCTGCTAGGGAAGTGTGTTGATGGGTCAGTTTCCAAGCCCAGACCTGATGAATGGAATGACTGATGGCATTCATCACTTAATGAACATTTGTTCTGCATCCAGCGAAACAAGGCAGAGAAAAGGAGGGGGAGCCTCAGCTCTAGGAAGGGCCAGGATAGCGAGTGCTGGCCCACACCAGTGAGAGCGCACCTTGAGGGCACTGTGGCACATCTCGGAGGATGGGCTATTGCAGGCCACAAGGTCAGGCCCTGCCAAGTTCCCTAGAACATGGATCTGGACTGATCAATATATAGGGCCAGGAGTGGAGTACGGAAGATTCTTGCTTTTCTTCCCATGCACACACTTGTGAAAATAAAAGGGAAAATCATGACACCTGAGGGCTGAGGATGTAGCTTTGTGGTAGAGCATTTGCCTAGCATCCATGAGGACCTAGGTTTGATCCCCAGAACTGGTTTCAAAAAGAGAGCCCGGTTAAAGGTAACCCTGAAAACAACTCACAATGGAGCCAGAAGGTCAACAGAAAGCAGGAGTTACATGTGATTTTGTGTTCAGGCTGCTGCCTCTTGGTTTTTTTATTTTATTTTATTTATTTATTT